GTTGGATTACCCTAGCCTAGCCGAATCCAACAAGGAATTCCCTTCTGTAATCTCCTATTTAAGGAGCTACGAGTTGAAATAAAGCATTCAGTTTTCTAGTCAAGAAAAGAGTGAGGAGAGTTCGGGTGGTCTCTTGAATAAATCACCCATTATGAGAGTTCGGGTGGTCTCTTGGACAAATCACCCATTCAGTTTCTGCAATAGGGTCTGCACGCAAGGGAAGGTGCAAGGGAAAGTAAGGCTTTCTCACCGTGGACCGACCCGTGATGAGATCTTACGCACGGGCCCATAACATGGCATGGCTTCCATTTTAGCCATGACTATTGCATGAAATAGCCACATCAGCATTCTCTGAGAATCTGCAGACGAAAAACTGTGTTTCTAATTAATGGCAACACAACAGTCACCTATCACTTGTTATTAGAACACCACCACACTAGTGTTGCAACACTCTTCTAGCCAGTAGCCATCTAGAAAGCTACATTCAGTAGAGTTGGTTGGGCACCAGGAATCCTCATAACTTCATCTTTATTATATATTAATTGTTGGTCATGAACAAAATTAAAAAGATATCCAGAACTCCAACCACCCATCAGGAAATGGATAATGGATTCAGACACATACTAATCTGTTCCTTGTACACTTCAGTATATATATATATTTACACGTGAATGTACATACCAAGCATAGTAAACATATTTATGAGCATTTGTAGCGGTTTACAGGTTGCCAGTGGAGAGAGAGAGAGACAGTCTATAAATAACGCCCAGATGTAACAACTTATTCTGAGTTGTGATGTAGCACTAGCACACCCAAAATGGCAGTGGCTTGTTGTAGTAAACTGGTTGTCCTACTGGTCATGGTGATCATACTAAAAACGTTTAGTGTTCAAGCCCAAGAAGCATCCAGAAAGGCGGAGCATCCCAAACAACCTCAGAAGTCAGAACGACGGAGGATTATCTGCAGGCCTAATACCGGGCTTCGACGACGACGACGGCCATCTACCTAGCTTTGGGGGTATTAGTGGGCGCCAGCTGCAAGATGATCCGCCGGGTTATGGACCAGGCTTTCGCCCTAGAGGCCCAGGTGAGCCAGGCCATGGACCCTGGAGCGATGGTCATGGTGGACCAGACCACGGCCCGGGGCATGGACCAGATGGTCCTGGTCCTGGAAATGGTGGCGGCCCAGGGTTTGGACCGGGTTTTGGAAGAGATGGACCATTCCCTGTCGGCCCTGGTGGTGGTTATATTTCACCTTAATGCTGTGTTTGGTATGAAGGAAAAGGTAGGAAAACCTTTACAAACCTTCTATAGGTTTCCCTATCTTTCCCTTCCTTTCCCTGCCTTTTTCTTCAAAACAAACATAACCTAAGTGCATGATTCTCCTTGGGACAGTTGGCTCTTGGCTGATATTTCCTCGATCATTCATTTAGTACTGGTGATGATAATTAGCTGTTTATGTACTTAGGTGCTAAGAAGTAAGAACAATTCCCCTTCCTCCGATCTGTGATTTCAATCTTTCAGATGGGGAGTTGGGAATTTGGATGATAGTATATATATTATATTGATGCGCTATGTATGTGGATTAATTGGGCTTCTATAGCTAGTAATGACTTACAAGTTTATGTCTGAGATATGCAGTTTTATGTCATTTTGTTTTAATTTCAAACTGAGGAAAACACAGGCTCAGCAGGCTAGATTGAACATCTCACAATATGGTATGGGAGTAGGAGGTACCATTCACTCAAAGGTGAAACTTGAAAGGAATTGTTTTACGTTTATTCATTCACTCAAAGTGAAGGGCACAATCCATGGTTAATAGTAGTTTTAATTTGGTCAAGGTTTTAGAAATCGATTCAGAATCGGAACCGCTTTGGTTATCAGTTTCTGGGTTAGCAGTTCAATCATCTGGTTTAAAAGGATGGTTCGTTCCAGTTTAAAAAAAAAATAATAATTAGAATAAAAAATGGACAAAAACTATTGTATGAGTCCAATGAATTAACAGTTCGACTGTCTGGGTTAATGGATCACTGACCAAACCAATGATTTTTGGCCAAGGGGGGACCCAGGGGAGCCATGGTGCCCCCTATGGCCCAAAAATCGCCACTATTTCATGTAAATTTTCCCCTCCTCCATTCTTCACTCCAATGGGTTGGCCTCCTCATGACCATTCATATTTGTCCCCCCCCCTCCACCTTAGGTTTTGGTCTTCCCTCATGAAAATTTCCTAGCTCCACCTATGCAATCAAAGATGGTTCAAAAACACTGGTCTTGATACTTGAATTGGAAGATTGAAGCTAAGTCGTTATACAATATAAATACCAACTCAAAACCCCATCTGGGTTTTCTTCAACTTCATGTATATATATATATATAGGTAGTAGTCTAGCCTCCACTAGAAATATCCCATGAGAACCGGTTCAGATCTGAATAGGAAAACCGGTATGGAATTATCTGTTGGAGTAAATCCATATTCCATCTAGTTACAGATTTGGATTTTGGATTGGTTTCTTTTAAAGGAGACAATTAATACATGTCAAAACAGTTAAAATTATATATCCAGTGAGCAGCACTAAACAGATATATGAGAGAAAAAGATACACAAGATAGGATTGCGGAGGGGCACTGTGACTCATCAAATTAGCAGATAGCAGTCAGTTTTACAAAATTCAGCAAATTGAAGTCCCGGCCCCATCAAGGATTGGTAGGGTACGTAACCAGTGGTCCAGTCTTCCTTTAATTTTTTTGGTAGTGGTAGTTGTTAATTTATTGGGTTCAGTGTGGTAACTGGTAAGGTAATATGAAACAACGGTACGGTACACAAGTATACATAATGAGCAATTCATTAAAGCCCATTCACGCAAAATATCTTTTCTAAGTAACGATGACTAACTGAAAATATATACAAATTTGCTAGTTAGGTTAGGTCATAGGTGGGTGTTCATAAATTTCACAGCAGGCAAATTACTAGCTTTTTATTCAAAGCAAAAACCGGGTGTGCTTTAATTAATTGCTTAACTGTTGTTTAATTACTACTAGATAATATTTCCAAGAAAGGTAGGATGTTGGGCTTGTGAAGATGGACCCATCTGATTAACCACTTGTGGCACATCAGATGGAAGCCAGTGAAGAATCAATGAATCATCCATCTGTTGTGTCTGTGAAAGAATTAATGCTGCGATCCAATGTTATATTGCATACCAGCTGTTCCCTAAACATTGATTCGGGGCTCAAATCATCTTGCATGTGGGGGTGGGGACTGGGGACTGGGTAGTGGTGTCAATTGAATTGGATTTGGTCCATTCGATAGTCTAATGTGAATTTATTATGAATGGATCAGGTCCAATCTAATTCAATGAATATTTTGAATCATTTTAGATTGGTCTAATTTAATGTCTGTACTGTAGATTTAATTCTAGTCCAAACCAAGTCCAGTGACATATATATATATATTTATCTTTTATCAGTAGATCAGATATTGGTTCAATCAAACTCAATTCAATATAGATTTGTTATAGATGGACTAGGTCCAATCCAATTCAATAAATAATTTGGACCATTAAATCTGGACTGATCCAATTCAATATATTTTGTTGGTCTATCCAATCCAAAACTGGTCCTTTGACACCCACTGAAAGTCGTCATGGCCATGTCTAAATTGAATCAAGATCTGCCCGGACCATAGCCAATTGTTCAACTTTGGGCCCTAATTCGGGCTGGGGTTGGGCTCAGGGTAGCCTTGGTCTAGATCTTCTGCATGGGGAGAAGTAGAACTGCCCCATTAAATAAGATAAGCCCTTAAACAAATGGGGCAGTGATTGGAGTTGGAAGGCATTCACAATTGATTGGACGCCATTTTATGGTTTCATTCCAAAATGGGTTGATGGATGCTTGTAACTGCCGGGCTTAGGCCCATTTAAGTATTTTTCCCATTACATGCAGTGTCCCTCATGCAGATACTAATTAAAATCACTTCCCAACAGAGCAAAACCAACCACGATCTGTAAGTCTCTAATCTTAATCATGGAACGCTGCTTGCCTATAAGATATGGGAGAGGGTAGCGCGTAGCACTTCTCCATGCAACAACAACAACAACCAGAAAGATTAAAGAGAGAGAGAGAGAGCGCGAGCGAAAGGAGCGCGCTTACGATGGAGATCAAACTAATTACTAATAAAGTTTTGCTGCTGTGTACCATTTTCCTTGTGGCCTTCAGTCTGGATTCACATGCAGGAAGGGATATTCCAAGCGCCGATGATGCTTATCATCCTCAGAATCTCTTCAATGGTTTTGGTGGTGGCGGTGGGTTTGGTTTTGGAGGTCCATTGTCTGGTTTTGGCGGTTCAGGTTTTGATCTTGGTCCAGGTTTTGGTGGTCCGGGTGTTGGTCCTCTAGGTCCAGGGGATGGCTTTGGTGGCCCTGGAGGTCCAGGGGGTGGCTTTGGTGGCCCCGGGGGTGGAGGTCCAGGAGATGGTTTTGGGGGTCCTGGTGGTCCAGGGAATGGCATTGGTGGCCCAGGGGGCGGAGGTCCAGGAGATGGTTTTGGGGGTCCGGGAGGTGGTTCTGGAGGTCCAGGGGATGGTGCTGGTGGTCCAGGGGGTGGTCCTGGAGGTCCAGGAGATGGTGCTGGTGGTCCTGGAGGTCCAGGGAATGGTTGTGGTGGAGGTGCAAGGGATGGATTGGGTCCAGGCTTCCCTGGTAAGTCATCATCAGTATCAGGAAAGAAAGGTGAGGGTGATGGTGGACTTGCTGGTAGGAAAACTCCATGATAAAATTGCACTTGGTTAATTTAGTGTTTGGGTTCCCTTAGTTTTCTTCTGGGTTGTCGTGTTTTAATTTCTAGTATTAATGTGATGAAGTCTTTTATCCGTCAATGTGTTGTAGAGGTGGTGGTTAATGCAGTATGTTTGGTAAGTGGTAATTGGTTTGTACTTCAATCATATCACGAATTATTATATTATATAATATGTATAAGTCGGTTTCATATTTATTTTCGATTTTACTGACATTTTATTTTCAATGAAAATCGATATAAACTCCACCAAAAATTATATCGATTTTATCAATCTAATTTCTTTCACTACACTACAAACAAACATTAACCTTAATGATTTTGTGGGCTATATATACTTTATGAGCAGGGATGTGTTGCAACAATAACTATACACGTGGCAAATAAAAAATTGTAGAAATAGATGAAGATTGCAATCAAAAGGAATTAAGGCTTAATTTATATAAGTAGTAGTGAACAATATATTGAACATTGTTAAAATTTCATCAAGCAAATGTAAGGAACAGTAGCCGGTAGCTGGCAATTTATTGGTAAGAGATCCAAGAACAGTGACGCGTGCTTCAATGATGCAAGTATCGTTCCGCAGGTAACACTTTGTTGGGTCGCTGAATTTGCCAAGTGTCATGAACTTGGCCCAACCCCAATCCACCACTGAGGGACTGAACAAATGGCATACTGCAATAATAATAATAATACATCCCAACCAAATCATTATTATATATTCTTCTTTTAAATTAACCTGAAATGCTGAAATACTAAAATAATAATACATCTCAGCTGCTCTCTGAAGATATATTTTGTCAGCAGAAACCCAAGGCCAAAATATATATGAATTAATTTCCTTTATTTTATGGGTTCACTGATCACAATTATGTGTCTGATATGCTTTATTTGATGATAAACCAAAATATTAATTAATGTGAGTGATAAGTGATGCATGAGCATGACCAGGCCAGATTCTGAAATTAATTGTATAAAGGAACCCTAGAAATTAAAATTGTTAAATCATGATCATGCTTTTTGTGTTTAATTAACTACATATGTACATACACGAGTACTACTTACTATATATTCATCATTAAAATCCTCTAGCTAAATGTAATTAATGAAGACTACCTTGGCGTTCATAATGTGCATCACTGGCTTGGTCCTTCACACACAAAGCCAATTTTACGTAGAGTTTGGTGTCGGGAGGAAGGGTCGTAGAATCAGCCAACGCTATAAACAGAGAAATACTATTGCCTTTACCATCACGATTTCCTTTTGGATATATCTTAATCCTCCTGCATGCATGCATATAATACAAGTTTCTTAAAACTGAATTGGACAATAAACCGGTCAGGAGTCCGGTTCTCGGGTCAAACAGTACAATAGTTCGAACCGAAAGGATGGCCCATTCTGATAAAAATTATTAAAAAAATAAAAAAATGGCCAATATTGCTGAACAGTTTGATCGCCTGGATCAAAGGTTTACTGATCAAATCAATGTTTTTTGGCAAATTAATGATTTTGGAATAAAACGGAACCAATCACTTAACCGATTCCCAGTATTTCCAGTTCAACCATCTGATCTGATCCGATTTTGAAAACCATATATATATATATATATATATATATATATATATATATATATATATATATAATTCAGTCGTCTATATATGTTGATCGATGATGAAGATGAATATAATGCATGCATGCATGCATATTGGTAGTACGTACGTACCATTTGTAATCCCCAGCTGCGAAGGCATCAGATTCCAATCGTTCGCTGGTTGCCACCCCTGAAAATTTTTCAATCTTCCAGATGTGGGTACAAATAACAGCTTCCTCATCAGACATGGACAAACACTCGCGCTTTGCCTCATTTTTTAGGACGAAAACCTCAGCTCCAAACACACAAGAGTCATTCACAAGGTATCCATTGTTTTGGTCCTTGAAGGATTTGAGGTCAACGAACTTGGCCATACCCCATTCTGTCTTCATTGCATGAAACCGCTTTACTCTCCTATCTGCATGTTCATGGCAGTAGACTATCTAGTTATGTCATTAATTCATCAACAATGTATTTTGTTCCTAGTGTCATTTTGGTCTCCGAGCTTTAAAACGTGATAATTTAGTACTTAAATTTTTAAAACGTGCCAATATTACAGTATCATTAATTAATCATTAAGTAACATATATGCGAAAAGATACTTGTCTTTCGAGTGTTATTTAATTTTTTTTATCAACCATCCAAATGCCCAAATCTGGTGATGAATAATCTTCTCTTGAATGTTGAGCATCATTTTACCAACTTCAAGAGGAAGTTGGGAAGAATTATGCTATTGGCCTATAGGTGAGACCACCATCAAACCAGTGTTTTGCATCTCTGTTTCATCTTCTTGAGGAAGTTCGATATTTTCAAAAGTTTTAAATTGCATATGGTGTCATGTGATACACATAATTGATGGTCTAATGACAGATACTAGATATATTAAAATTCAAAACCAAAGTGACATTAAATCCAAAGTACAGGATACTAATTAAGGTTATATATGTACCTTGGAACGTCAAATATTTGTCCTGAAATTGTTCAAACAGAAACAAATTGAAGATCACGTTCACCTCCCAACCCAGAGGAAGTGAACTGGTCTCTGCCAGTACCAAGTATAAAGAGATATGATCGTTTCCATTTCCAATCTTGTTCCCATCTGGATACACAGACAACTTCCTGCAGCAACAGATGAAACAACCCAAGAGAAAAAAAAAATAATAATAATGAAGAGTTTCAGTTCTGAATCTATTCAATTGATACACATGTGTGATTATGTATTCCACTAAGTTTGGTGGCAATCTCTCTCTCTCTGTTAACTCACAGTAGTAGAGAGGCAATAGAGAATCCAGATTAAACTCACCATTTGTAACCTCCTACTTCAAAAACGTCGGAGTCGAATCTCTCAATTGAAGCCTTTGAAAGTAATGAGAATGACTGGACCTTTAATGTATAGTGCGTTGGTGGAGCATCTCTAACTGTTCCATAATTAAACACCCAGGAAATGTTACAAAGTTTAGTCATAATTGAACACCCAGTTACAGATTATTAGTCATTAATTATTTTACTCAAATAAGAATAAAAAAAAAAAGAACTTGTCTGCAACTTCTCAAACTCCTGGCCGGAAAACCTTAATTAATTTAGAGGTCAACATCGTGTAAGAAATGAAACCCATTAAAAAAAATCAAATCAAAAGGTGAAAAAGAAGTTAAAAACGAGAGATATATATCCAAGGTGTGATGTAAGTAGTAATTAAAATAACATACAATTGGAGGGGTCGAAGTGAAGGGAACGGTCCTTTTGAGATTGAGAGAGCGCCATCTTCTACTCGTCTGATAAGGTTGATCGTAAGCAGCTCATTTTGGAGCCTTAGTAGTTAATAAAGAAGTTGGACGACGGACAGACATGAGACATACAGAGAGAGAATACAGAGAGAGAGAGAGAGTCACTGCAAGATACCAAGGGTGTGCGTATATATGAAGAAAAGAAAGCATATTGAAGCATAAAGCAAGAGATTGGAACACCTTGTCCCTACGGTCAGGCCACCTCATTGTGATGGTATAACTAATTAACTAACCAAGGCATCACCGCATCACTACTTAGGGTGCTCACGGTTCGGTTAGAGCGTGGGATAATTTTTGAATCTCAACCAGGGTTATTGGTTTTTGAAAAATCAGTAATTGAAATCGAATCGAAACCAATCGATTAATTGGTTGATCAGTTTGGTTAATCGTTGGTGTAATTTGCCGATTTTTTGGTTTTTTATTATTTACAATATTTATTATATAAAAATATATAATAAAATATTAGAAATATATATAATATTATATTTTAAATAATAAATAATATATTATATCTTATATATATGTATATATTTATATATACAATGCATATTTATTAATTTATAATGTATAGAAAATATAAAAAAAATATATATATATATATATATATATATATATATATATATATATACTGGTCGGTTTAATTAATCGCCATTTTTCTATTTTAGTTAACCAAAACTGAACCACTACCTTTGTTTTTCTTAAATACTGAATCAAAACTGAACCAACTAGTTTGTTTAACCAAAATTTCGGTTCACTTTCGGTAGATTTAGTTTTCGGTTTTTTTTTCTCACCCCTAGGCATCACGCTACAGGAGGCGACAATACAATATATGTTGAGTAATGTGGTAGATAGGGGGTGGAAAAGCTCAATTCGGCTCGTTTAAATTGAGTAGTGTGGAACCTGAACTCCTTAAAACTATTAATTTAGTACCCGCCGTTAGCATTCCATCAATTATGTGATACACGTCATATTGAGTGTAATTTGTAACATTTCAAAATTCTAGAATTACCCTTTGAGACTAAACTAGAGCAACTAACTAACCCCAAAGCACACGATGAAAGACTAAACCAAGACCATGTAATTGAGAATCTCTGAATATTTGTGAGAAAGACCAAGGCAATGTGGTTGGATCAGAGGACTTATGGCTTTTGCCCACAATTTCTCAACGAAAAGGCAAGTCTAGAACATAAAAACAACACTTCCAAGAGCCAGTTATGGACATCACAGGAGATTTCTATAGGGGACCCATCAACCAAGATGGTTTATTTGGTTACCCCAGAACTTCCATCTAAGGTGCTTCACCTGCATCACTATCTTACTATTTACGTGGATCAAGAGTAAGGATCGTTGAGGCTAACAGTATCGCACTTAATGGTAACATCATGGATCTGCCAATTGTCACAAAACTAAGTTTTGGTGCCATAAAGTCTCTTCCCGAAATTTACTCTCTCATTCTTGTATCTAGGGGTGTTCACGGTTCGGTTAATCAAATTATAGGCATATTTTGTAAACCGAATTGGTAGTATCGGTTTTTTCATTTCTTCAAACCGAAACCGAATTGGTACCATCGGTTAACCGGTCCATCGGTTTTAGTTTTTGACCGATTCGATTTCTTTGGTTTTTTATATTTATAATATATATTATATAAATATATGTATAATATTATGTTATAAATAGTAAATGATATATAACATATTATAAATATAATATAAGTATATATTTATATATATATATATATAATGAATATATTTATATATAATATATAGAAAATATGTAACATATATTAAAAATATATATATAAATATATATACTGGTCAGTTTGATTAACCTCCGGTTTTTTTATAGGTTAACTAAAAATTGAACCAACCCTTCAATTTTTCAAAAATTCCAAACCAAAACGAACCGATCAATTCGATTAACCGCATTTTATAGTTCGATTCGATTTTTCAATTTTTCATGGACACCATCATCTCCCGATCAAAGATGACAGCCAAATAGAATTTAGCCGACGAGAGGTCCCAGTATATATCAACCTTACTGGAGTCTGCCTCTAAACTCTTGGACCTTTTTCTCTTGAAGGACAACCAGGATTTTATATCAACTTTATAGAGGAATTGATTGGTTGAATCATCAATCCCAACACTAAGGCATTGACCCATCAGATTCTTGCTCCAGTAATCATGCAAGAACAACCATGTAATGTACTTTGATAAACACGTGTAACCAAGTTTTGAGAATTTATTTTGGCATTGAAGATAATCCACAACTTGAACCCCATTTTCGCCTAAACAAGAAGGAAAATATCTCATTTTGATACTAGTAACCTCAATTTTTCCTACTCTTTTGTACACTAATTTGTGGGGTAACAATCTAATATTCTTTTGAGGCAAGGAAGAAGACAACGAACAATCCCCTTCTTACACAAAGTTATCGGTTTTCTGGTAGCTGTTACATTTAATTCAGTAAAAGGAAGGGGACAATGAAGAGTCCCCCTTACCTAATGTAAGATAGTTATTACCTTTAATTAATTCAATGAATAGTCCCCTTCCTTTGATTGTCTTCATTGTCTACATTTGATTTTTCCATTCTTATTCTGCAATTCTAGTCCAGAAGTGAAAACATAAAAGTTATCTGTTTTCTGGTAGTTGAAAGGTTAAGTATGCGTGTTTCAGTGTGGAGAAATCTCTTCTGGGCCCAGGTTAGTTTAAAGTAGGGATGCAAAGGGATAGGATTGGATTCGAATTAGGGTATATTCAAATCCGATTCGACACTATTCATGTCGGATCCGATCGGATCGGATCTGATAGGACTCGATCTGAATTCGAATCCTATCGGATCCTTGGATCTGATTTGATCCGACTTGTTTTCTTTAAAAATTAATAAATTATTAAAAGAAAAATAAAATATACCGGTTTAAATAAAGAAAAACAAAAAAATATAAGTATTTTTTAATTATTTTCATCATATATGTTTTTATAAAAAAATAAATAATATAACAAATTTATAAAAATATAATATAAATAATATATTTATAAATAAATAAAAAACATATATATATATATGTATTATATATATATATATTTATAAATATATAACACATCGGATCAGATCTTCTCGGATCGGTTAGGGGTGATCCGAATTCGATCCGATTCCTGATCGGACCATAGAATCATAGGATCCGATCCAAAGATCTGACCAGGGTGATCCGAATTTGACCAAATAGGATCGGATCTCGGATCAAATCGAATCATGATCTGATCCATTTGTATCCCTAGTTTAAGGATTTATTGTAATATAGATGGAGATGCTTGAGAATGTGGGAATAACCAAATAAGAGGCACTGTTCAATATGATTGGTTGATAATAAAAATTAGATGATACTTGAAAGGGAATTTTTGTCCCTTCACATGCCACTTAATACCCATAAACTATTTGGACTAAAATGACAATTTTCGGGAGTTCAAATAATGTAGTGGCATTTTTTAAAGTTCAGGTACTAAAATAAACTAACCCCAAAGTACATGGAGGCTCTGTACTTTTGTCTATGCCCCTCCAAATCGATTTGAATAAAGAATTGTTTGGTCTTGGCTAAAGAATATATCTAAAAATGTTGACCAATTTTGGTGTGTTTTGGGAAACTTTAATGCCCTTATAAGCAATGAAAATAAGTGGGGTGGTAGTGTAGTCTCGAACAGTCAAACAAAAGACTTTAATGAATTTATTGATTTCTATAACTTAATTGAGATGAATATGCAAGATTTTCAATTTACATGGAGAAACCATAATGTTAAAGAGATGCTCGATTGGGTCTTTACTAATGATTCTTGGAGGAAGGACCACCTGGATGCCTCTCTTACAAATTTCTTCTTTCTTGCCTCATATTACTCTCCTTTTCTTCTTCAGACTGAACAAGTCTCAAACTTAGGCCCTAGGCCCTTCAGGTTTGAGGCTATGCGGTGCCTCGACTCAAGCCTTAAGAAAGTTATTCAGAAAGCGTGGAGAAATCAGTTTGGGGGACCCAAAACCACTCAATTTATTAAAAAAAGAAATATCCTAGTTCAAAATCTGAGAGACCGGAACAAACTAAAATTTGGCCATATTTTTCGATTATAAGAGAAAATTATGAAGCAGTTGGGAGAAGTTCAACTGAGCTCAATGAATGATCTGCATAATGTTTCCATAATAAATCTGGAAACTACTCTTTAGAGACATCTTAATTCAATCCTAGCTAGAGAGGAGACGTATTGGGCCCAAAAAGCAAGAGTAAATTAGATGAAATTGGGAGATATAAACAAAAATTTCTTCCATACTACAATTACTATAAGAAAAAGTAAGAATAAATTTTCAAAAATTAAAAATGATGTTGGAGAATGGTTATGTGATCAGAGGAATATTGCTGAAATTTTAGGTGAAAACTTTGAGAGTAGGTTTAAATCCAAGGTTACATAAGATGTTGAGGATTTTTTTAGAGGTAATTAGCCCTTGTATTTCAAATGGGCAAAACATGCCCATCATTGGAGGAGTGACCAATGAAGAGATTAAGAACACTATTTTTGCTATGAAGGATCTCAAGACTCCGGGTCCTGATGGACTTAATGTACTATTTTTCAAAAAAATATTGGTCTATAATTGGAAATTCCATTTATAGTGTGGTAAAATCCTTCTTCCAGGGAAATGAACAAAATTGTTAAAAAACTTTCATCACCCTTATCCCAAAAAAATGCCATCCCTGAAATGACTAATAATTATAAACACATTAGTTTGTGCAATGCCATCTATAAAATAATTTCTAAAATTCTTGTTAATAGAATAAAGCCATTTCTTGATGATGTTATCTCCCCTTTTCAGAGTGCATTTATTCCAAAATGGAAAATTACTATGAGGAAGAAGAAGGAATAAGTAGGGGATAATGGCTTGTAAAATTGATATGGGACTTGAATGGGACTTTATTGAGAAGGTACATAGAAAATTTGGGTTCCATAGTACCTAGGTTAATTGGGTTATGGAGTGCATTATAATTGTGACATATCAGATCTTGGTAA